AAAAAGCTTGCTTTCTTATACGTCTGGTTTCATGGTGTAGGTATGCTTTTGTGTGCTGATTGTCATGAAATAAATGATCTGTAAATTGGTGCTAAAGAAATACTAAAACTAAATTCTTCTTTGGGCTGTACATATGCAATTTCTGTTGAGCCAATGGGACCCGTGTACCTGTGTCTGAGAAATGAATTTGGTCTCTTGTAGCTAAGGGAGCAGCTGTCTAAGGAGGCAAGTCAACGGCAGTCCCTGGAGAAATCCCAAGTAACCATGCTGCGTCACATGCAGGATATGGAAAGGACTGTGGAGGCAGAACGGAAACAGGTTGGAGAAGCACAGCACCTTTTTCTTTCCCCCTTTGAAGGAGACTTTTTCCACCCAGCAACAAGGAGCTCTAAGAGGCAAATAGAATACTGAGAACAGGTTACATGGATCTTGAACAGCAAGAATGGAACATTAAAAATTACTTGGACTTGGTATAGTGTTGTATGAGAAAACAATGATTCTGAGAATATTCTGTAGGATTCTTAAACCTTTTGGGAATAACAATAGCAAAAGTGCTTTTCCATTATTGAGTGGATTTGTAGTAATAATAACCCTTACGAAAGGAAGGGAAAGTGCAGATAAAAAAAGTATTTTGTTGCTTGTTTGTCTTTTCATTGTTTAAAATGCATGCAAAAGACCACACAGACCCACTGCAACATAACTAGTAAAAGAAAAAAACCCACATACAACACAAATTCCAAGGTATATGTATGCTTAAATAGATTGTCAAGAAAAAGAATATGGAAATTATCTTTTGCTGCTCCCTGGAAAAACTAGTTTGGGGGGGGTCTCAAAGGAAAACTAAATTAAGCGGATACTTTAAATTTCCTTTTGGTGCACCTGGAATTGTTCAGACTGCTCATAAAAACTTCATTTTCTTTTTTTTCCTGCCTCCATTCTCAGATTTTGTGGGTTTTCCTAAGATTCCTGTAGACATCCACTTATACATGGAAATAACAAAGACTGAGCAGAGTTGCTTAGAGTGAAACAATTGAGGCACAGATTTGGTTTTGATCATCCAAGATTTAATGCATCTAGTTGACCCAATATAATTTTTATAAGTGAGAGATGAGGCAAGGTGAGGTATAAACATGAGTCATCCTAATGGTCTGGTATAAATCCTGCCTTTCTGTGATCCTCAGTAATGTTGATCCCTTTGCTCTAAATATATATGTTAATATTTCTAATGTCACAATTTTAATTGGAAACTTTCCTACAACCTTGTGTTAGGAATTATCAGCCCTGAATGGTTCTGTTCTAAAACAGAAGGTTTGAAACAGTCCAACTATATTTTTCTCTCTTCCTCTAAGCTAACCACTTGATCTGAAGTCTCCTTAGGCTCATATGGATTTTTTTTAATGAAAGCCTCTCTATCCTATGGCAGGGGGGTGGGGTGCAGAAGGGAAAGAGGAGGGAGGGAGGGAGGGAAAAATTATTCTTTTTCTACAGGTGCAGCTGTTGCAGCAGGACTGCCATGGTCTGCACCAGGAGGTCCAGCTAGTCCGAGAGAAGCTACAGAAGGAGGAAGAGAGAACTATACAACTGGAGCAGGAATGTACACAGTTGAAAGCTGAGTTGGGTATGACAGCAAAGTCACAACTACAACCAAATTAGTCCTACCACACATTCCTCCACTGCTCCCAGTGAGAAGGAACTCAAATGATTGAGATGCATTATTTTTAGAGTTAATGGGTCCTCCTATAGTTACAGTACCTAATGGGAATGAAATTCTGCTTATTGAAGCACTTAGGTCTTGAAGTGCCTTAAATTAGCTTGTATGTAAATCTTTTCCTGACTGAAGTAATAATCAGAAAAATAAAACATGATCCGGACACAGCAGGGCAGACCCTACAATGAGAGACTGCGGGACCGGAACCTGTTCAGCCTTCACAAGTGAAGGCTGAGGGGGGACCTGGTGACCGTCTGTAAACTCACTAGGGGGGACTAGAAGGGTTTGGGAGAGACCTTGTTTCCCCTAGCGCCCCCTGGCATAACAAGGAATAACCGCCACAAGTTGTTGGAGAGTAGGTTTAGATTAGACATCCGTAAGAACTACTTCACAGTTAGGGCAGCTAGGATCTGGAACCAACTTCCAAGGGAAGTGGTGCTGGCTCCTACCCTGGGAGTCTTTAAGAGGAGGCTTGATGCCTACCTAGCTGGGATCATTTGAGCCCAGTTTTTTTCTCCTGCCCAGGCAGGGGGTCAGACTTGAAGATCTACAAGGTCCCTTCTGACCCTACTTCTATGATTCTATGAAAACAGAATGGCAGTTTTCTTAGTGGATTTCATCACCTCACGTCTCTCAGACTTAAACTATTGAGTAAGCACTGGAGTTACTTTTTTGAACTGGTATTTAGTCTTTTTGAACTTTGACTAGAGCTGCTAGTTAGTAATGGGGAATTTATGAGAAGCACTGTACAGGGGAGAAATTTGGTAAGGAACATAAGCAATCGGAACAAACTGAGTGAAAATCTGGTTGTTCTGATTTTGACTCTGTTTTATGGAAGCATGACACTTACAGGTGTAACTAACCCAAACAAAGGCTATATCCTTAAAAAAACAAGGGGCATTTATCTTGGCCTCTGTGAGGCAGAGGTATTCAGGATGAACCCCCCCTTTTTTTTTTTAAACAGTCTTAGTTAACCCACTGTTCATCCTATATCTACTAGTAAGCTATATCAAGAGAATCTTGCCATGCTATTCAAATATGGTCCATTGGGTGTGAAAGAGCTTCTCACTATTGGGGGAAAAAAAACCCTTTTCCTCAGAAAAAACTAAAACAAACGTCCCAGCAAACAAAGAAGACGTGTGTCCTGCCAAGTGAGAAACAAGGGAAACAGATTTTTTGGGGGTACTGAAGATATTACTGGTCACTATGTACTTTGACCCTTTCCCCAAAGGCTGAAGTAGAAATAAGTGCTGCAGCATTAATAAAAACAAAATATTATACGTTGGAGTATTTAAGGGAATTTATTTACCTTTGGGGGAGAGAGAGATGCAGAAAATAAACATGAAATCATCCTTCCAGTTCAGAGTTTCTGCTTTTATTTGGAAGACCTTTTGATTATCCTTTCCAGATCATATTTTCAGTATGTGATTTCCCCTCCTATCCCCACAACTTTTGTTGAGATGTCTCTTCAGCATCTTACCGAAGAGTAATGCAATATTGAAGGGCAAAGTATGCCATTAGGTTCATTCAAATGGAATTAAAACAAAACATGCTTTTTGTCCCTTGGGTTTACATTTACTCTAAGCTAGGGATTTTATTTTGACATTGGGACACACAAACATGTATATAGAAACTCTGTGCAGCAATTATTGCAAGTTGGATTGTCCATACATTGAGCACATGTCTGTACAAAATGTTAATGGCAGTTTATAAAGTTAACTCAGTTTGTATATGTAACTAAAATATTTGGATGTGCAGGTGACAGGCGGTTGTAAACTTTATGTATTTTAAAAGTTAGGAAATAAGAGTCTTGCCTGTGGTTACCGGGAAGGAAGAATATGCTCTAATAATAATAATCCTGTTAACCTGAAAGGTTAGATCTTTCAGTATTATCAGAAATAGCAGAAGTCATGCAGATTTTGGCCATCTGCTGTGACTAAGTAAACAATTAAAAAATAAAAAGCGCCATTTTGTTTTATAACGAGTTTCATGGCTCTGCTTTGGTTTTGCTCTGTTCTAGAATCCAAAAATTGCATCATTTCCCAACTGACTGAAGAAGCAAAAGTAAGTTGTAAGCTATGTTCATGGGGAAAAAGTATGACTTCTTTTTTTTCCCCTAAGGAAAGCAGCAAAATGCCAATATACATTGTGTCTTACCAGACTCTCTATTATTCTTTTTCTGCACA